ATGTGGTGATTCTTCCAACATTGTGCTGATCCTCACTGGTAACCTGCCAGTATGACAGAGTTACTGTCGAATATGTGACAACTATCTAGTATAAGCTAAGGTAGGAGATACCTCAAATGGTTCAGGGTTAAAGAGCTTAAGATAGTAGAGTGGTTTTGAGTTAGTGACCAACCAGATAAGCATTATCTCAATTTATCGAGATCCACATAAGGTAAGCACTCATATTTCTCTTCCTGTCGATGACAGAGTTATTGGAACTCCATATAAAATGTCTATTCTTCAGGGTAACATCATAAGCGACTGACCCGCAAAAGAGAAAGGCATGCCGAGCTGAATTGCGAAGCACCGGCATTCTTTTTTGATCAAGCGCTTGGTGACCGTGCTTATCGCAGAATGAAAAGAGACCCAGATATACGGCAAGCCCATCAAAAGCATTCTCTAACCTGGTACCACTGGCAAATGTTTAGTAGCATTAGGGTCTGTTCTAATTTTCTTGCACAAAGTTATGCTTATTCGATCTTTAAGAGGCATATCGCCGAAATGTCCAGTAGAAGGTATGAGCTTCAGACCACGAAGCTGGTAAAGCTGACAGAACCTTCAAGGACGACGCAACGGTCCGCCTCATCAGCACGAATGCACGATCGCCTAGCGCTGTCGAGTCAGCGAATCTCAGATGCTCGGTATTTGAGAATATAGCAAGGACATGGAGAGCAAAAAGGATAAGCTGGCTCGCGAAACTGTCTTAACCCATCCTAGGAAGGAGATTGTCCGTTTAGGCCATCGAAGAGCTACTTATGTTCGCAGACAGCTGGAGTGGCTGGAGCGGCTGGACCAAGAGCTCAGTAGCGACGTCAGTTCACCTCACCCGGAGCTTACTCACGTGATGGACAACGCGGCCCCGTGTTCTAAGACCATATTGGGTAAAGCCAGATGGGCGGTGGATCACTGAGAAGCTGAGATAACAGATCACAACTGCTATCACTTGTTACGTACCTCGACCTGTGCTTCTGTTTCATCAGTGTCACCATGCATTATCAGCATTTGATTGTTTTTAAGTGATTATCTCCCTTGAGTATACAGTCTTCTTTCTTTCCTCGCCGATACCACCTGACGACAATTCCAATTGTCATCTCGCTGCCTAACACGTTGAGCTACCGCCGCAACCGGGTAGTCTTATCTTGGCCTCCCGTGAGGAGTCGTAACACACCCCAAGCTCCAAAAGTTGTCTTCACCACAAACGAAGCTTCAGTAACTAGATCACCCGAGTGCCTGCTTGGATCCACTGGACGTTGTCGATGGTAGTTTCGACGGTGACTCTCCAGACTGTCTTTCAGCGTTTTCCCATCACAGAGTACGAGTCGGGCACCCTCAAAAATCGAAGAATAAACCAAGATGAGTATGAACGTCTTTCGCCTGTTAGGCGATCTGTCTCACATATCGTCGAAATGCATCTTGATGTGGGCCATTCATCGGAACAAAAGTGCGGAAGGTATGTACAGACACTCCCGCCCCTCGCCATAGGGATAGGAACGTGCAACTGACTCTTCGAATCTGAATACCAGGTGTCTCGCTACTCACACAGATGCTTTATGCTGCTGTGTTTGTCACACGCTACCTTGATCTGTTCCGAGGGAGCGGTTGGAGAAGCCTCTACCTCGTTTTCTTCAAGTTTTTCTATATATTGTCTTCTTTCTATATCATTTTTTTGATGATGAAGGTCTACCCGCGGACACGTGAGAGAGAGAGGGCATGGAAGATGGCTCTCGGTTCCGTCGTCCTTTCGCTTGCCCTAGCGCCGATTGTGACTCCAATTTTCGACGACAAAGAATTCTTCAAAATCCACTGGTTCACCGAGGTGAGTCTAGCATGCCGTGCACACAGAGATCTTGTTGCCTCAGTGCTAATTTGAAGTATTATGCAGACAATGTGGTCCTTCTCCATCATCCTAGAATCCGTATGCGTGCTTCCCCAGCTCCTTCTACTCCGCCAGACTACCGTTCCCACGGTCATCGACTCATTCTATCTCCTCGCTCTGGGCTCTTACCGCGCGTTCTACATACTGAACTGGTTTGTGAGAGGGTTCGGCCCCGAGAAACACTGGGATCCAATCGCTATGATCTTTGGTATCGTCCAAACTGCCTTCTACGTTGATTTCGCTTGGGTCTACTATTCTCGTCAGCGCGTCAAGCTTCGAAATGGTGGTGTGGTCGATTCGGAAGATTATAGCAAAAGTTGGATAGTTAACAAGGTGTTCAATATCAGACGGCGACGAGAAAGTCTGGACGAGGAGCAGAACCTTACCGGAGAAGGAATGGAAGGGGACGGGGGAGATGGTGGGGATAGGCCAAGCAACAACCGCTGGGGTGCTCGCGGCATTTCCATTTCAGCGGACGATACCTTGGAAGAGCACACCCGACGCAAGCCCGGGGATGCAGATAACGAAGGCTTGGATGGATTTCTGGAGGATGAGGATGACAGCCTGGACGACCAAACTGATGGGCAGAGCCCATTGCATCACGCACCGGTCACGTCCAGTCGCGACTAATAATCGCTGTTGATGAGCGATACTTATATATAGAAACCCTGCAGCAAGTGGATTGACCTCACTTGTTCCAGTGTCTCTTTGGCTCTGGAGTGATCAGTTACTGGTTCAGGAAATGTTTTTGGGAGTTATTATGTATAATGGCTCAAGGCGCAATCATTGATCCAATGCTATTTTTGATAACGGGCAGTTAGCCTTATCCGGTTTTAGGATATGGTGAGATCATGATAATCAGACGGATCTTTTGACTGGATCATCAATTTAAAGTAGTGCGGAGATCCATGGTAAGGTCAGGATCCGCCGACTAAGCTGTGCTTCACTCTTTTGGTGGAACCTGAAACAAAAGCTAGATAGAGTCCAGTGTTTCAGAGTCATTCTGAGCCATTGCTGCGCCAGGGCATAGCCACGGAAAGAAGGGTCGAGTTGCACTTCTACCCATTCAATATGCAAACGGACGATGCATGGGTCAACACTTGAGAAGGACCCAATGCTTCTCTCGAGAAGAAGAACGCCTTGCAAGGTAAACAATCCTCCTTTCGAATATTAACTTCAAACATTGTTGTCCCCATCATGACCCATCATGACGACGGAAAGCGCATTTACCCAAGATGGACTATGCTAAATCTTGGCACCGCCTGCCGAAATCCCGCGAGATCACGTGTCGATGTCTTGCTATGTCATTTCGATGATTTCAAAGCCAAAATTTGCCAAAAAAAAAAATAGTTAATCCTGGGAGAAAGAATGACAAATCGTCCTTCAAATTACCCACCAGAACAAAAGTCCCATTATGAATTTATGACGGAATGCCAATCTCGACGAGACACGCTCAGCTGAGTCGATCTTGGTCTCTTTCAGCAGGTCATCCTTTTATTCTTGAGCAAACGGTTCATGCTCTCTAAGCGCCAGCGCCAGCGCCATCCCGGAGATAAAGTCGATTTGGAAAATGATGGCTCAACCCGCTCAACCGACTGGCAGGAAGCATGTCCTCTGGCGCGTATGCGGCATGGCCTTTGTGGGACACGTGGCTCTGAATAGAGCGATGCAGACAACCGGCGAGATAACAATAATGATGGGAATCCGGGAAGCTACCATTCACTACTTTCCATAGAAAGCTTGCTAGTCATGCAACCAGGACAGTTAGTGATGCGCAATTACGGGAGATTGATTGAGGCTTTGAGCCAGGCTCTGCTTAAAATCTCACCTTCGTGGCTCAGGCTTTCAAACTAATCCCACTAACTAGTTTAGCTCAGTCAGATCAGGCGTCTAAGACACTTCTTGGAGCCCACTGAACAAGCCAAATCCTCCAGGGGTTTGCAGCCGCAATTACGAACAAGCGCTTAATGGGCCGCTATCCGTGCATCCTTACCTGGCTCAGGACTCGGACTGTTCCTTGATGGACCTGTCTTCCCTGACATAGTCCAAGTGGGCTTCTAGTAATGATTTCTTGCTCCTTAAGTCATGTTGAGCAGTCAATTATTCCGTACCCCGGCCCCATAGCCGTCTAGAATCGAGGATGTAGACTCGCTGTTCTGGAGCTTTAGCCCTTTTCCTTAATTTCTTTTGATTGCACTCATCCTACGATCTGCTTACTGGCATCATGAAGAGCGTCCAATTTCTATACTACTCCACTAGCTAGTCAGCCCTTCGACGTCTTTAGCGCTAACCCCTTTACTATCATTTGACTCCTGAACTGCTGCAGCGGGCCACTAAGCGACTGATGCCATTCCAATGTCATTCTACAGGCTCCCGCCGCCCCTTCCTGGGTGATCCGATGCATTGGGACTTTGATGCTGCGGGAGCTACCCTTCTTTCCATCGATCAGGGTGGGCCAGATGCTGATGTCTGCGCCCCGAGAGTTTGGGGGCTGGAATTTTAGCTGTCATGTCATCGCAGGAGAAGATATTGCTTTCCTTTGATAACATTTCGGACCCCATCTCCGGGATAGCCAGGCGCTTAAATGCAGAGCCATCGTCGTGTCTACACCTCTCGTTACGAGCATCTTTGTGCGGCACAGTGATAGACGGCGGTATATCCGATGCTTTCTGGAGCGTTTTTGGCCCGTTGACGTGAGAGCTACTCGAATCTGGGCCTGCCTTGCAAGGCACTTCGACCACGTCTTGATCATCCCGACTGGCGTATATGAACCTGGATCAGACTTTTGTTGGACGTTCTTCTCGTTCTGCAAACCATTCTATACCTTTTCGTACTTCGAGAAATAAAATTAGCTGTTGTGCAGAAGTGGCTACTCTGAAGTCGTCGTGGCGGGCCTTTATATTACTTTCAGTCGTCCATCCCATCTGCTTCTTGCCGCCGACACCAGTTTTGTCCTCCTGATTGTTTCATCAAGCGTTTCATCTTTTTCACCACGCATCAAGTTCATTCGCTCTCTTTCTGGTCTAAGCGCGTGCCCCGTGTTTGCTCTATGTATCCTCAAACTCCTTCCGGGTTCGCCGGCCAAATGCCCTATGGCCAGGCCACTCCAGGAAGACAGGGTGATGACTTGGATGAATACTATGAGGCGCTACCGTCTCAATGGTCCTGTGTTGAAACGGTAGGCCAATCTTCCGTGACATCTGTCCGGTGTTTCAGCCAGCTGACCAAACATTTGCGCTGCTTTAGTCTCCATATTTAGCAATGAACCATCCGAACTCTACCACAGCAGCTGCATATCCGTCCGCCGCTATCTTAACACCAATCAGTCTCCCAGACAGCTCCTTTATCCATGCAAGACCGAGCCCGGTTGTCAGTCATCGTTCGCAAGAATATCAGTACAACATATCTGAAACGGTCCCGCAGCATGGGCTTGGGATCACGGCACCGTTTCCAAGTAATTTCCCCCGAACAGTAACGGCGGGTCTGGGACACGCTATAGATCAATACGACTTTGGCCATGCCGAAGCTACACTATCCCCACATCAACCTCCAGCGAAACGAGTTCGAAGAGGCAGCCTGAAAGCCGCAAGTTCGAGTCGTGAAACCCCAGTCTCAATACTGCCTCATCCTGAGGGACTCCAGCGACTAGAGCAGGAACGGCGACAAGGCCATATTGATCTTCATCCCCACCACAGGTCTCGCGCTCCCGGCCGGGGCCGGCGCGACCCGCAAGCGGAAGAAGAAGATGCTTTTGTCGAGGGACTGCGAGAACAGAACCTGGCATGGAAGGTCATCCGGGAGATGTTTCGCGAAAAGTTCAACAAAGATGCATCGGAAGCACGCCTACAAATGCGGATGCTGCGCCGGCGCAAAGAACGGCTAGCGCGGTGGGACGAGCATGATGTGAGTATGTGTGTCATGTCTCTCTCGCCTCTGATTTGTCGTAATTTGTTAATAACCGACTGCTCCAGATCCCACTTCTCATAAGAGCTCGAGACCATTGGGAACGTGAAAAGTATCATTTCATTGCTCAAAAGGTGAGGTCGTCTCAGCTGGTTTCCTCCATGGCGTACCATACATGTCCTGCGAGCTAACATTTTGATGATGCAGATGAGGGACCTAGGCGCTAGAAGGATATACACCCCGCAGGAGTGTGAGGCTCAACTTAAAGACATGGAAGCTGAAAGCCGAGAACGTGCCGATGCCTCGTTATCGCAGATGACAGAGCGCTCACGGACTCGAAAACGAGTTAGAGCCAACAGCGACACGGGGCCATATCTTTGCTGATTTCTCTATCTTATCTTTTTGGCTGACTTCCAGAATCATCGTCCACGAGCGCATTGATTTGATCTTGCACATGCCGCATTGGATGGCATTTCTGATTAGCAGGGTTTAGCGCCGCGCATAGCATTGCGTTTTCATTGCCTCCGTGGCATCCTCCTCCTTTGCATATTTTTCCCTTTGCCGATTTTTTCATGGACATATTTTTTTATACAGCTCATGTAGAGACATGTCGATACGAAAATGACCAGAGCACGTCTACTGGTCATATGAATACATAAAACCTTTTATATTTCATGTCTTCAAAAATCAGTGCCAAATCTTAGTTCGGAGAAACGCTGGAGAGGTCGCGGGCGGGTCACTGCAGTACCCTCCCAGGCATGAAAACAGGACCCGATCGATTTCCTACGTTTACCTGTGCAAATACCCAAATCCTGCTTTTCGAGAATCGAATCTAGATTCTGGAACCTGCTGAGAACCATCTAATCCTCTCACAAGCCAAATCAAGCCCCATGCATGCATAGAACCATCTGCGGCTGAAAACCAGGCCCAAAGAAACAAACAGGCAGCTGAGCATGCGTACCCGTCCCTAATTCCAAAAAAGATATTAGACTACGCCATGGCGGTGGGGGCTATATGTCTGGATTAACTACGCACCAGTGAGCATGCGGCGTAGGCGCTTAACCTGCAGGACGTGCAGCAGACCCCGTGCAAAGGAGTGGTGAGCCGGGCTCAAGTTTCAGGCATGCGGCTAAAAGATGGAGTAAGAGCTAAGGATGTTAATGCGGGCTACGCTATTTAATCTTCAGCTTACTACACGGGACATAGATATCCGCGTACTCGGACATATACGGACATGGGGACTTGTTTCCGTTCTGGGATGCATGTGGGCGGAAGATGATGGTATGGATTCGTCCTCTATGGTCAAAGATGTAAGCGCTAGTACAAAGATAGGCGCGTCGATATTTGTTCGGTTCAACGGTATCGTTTTTAACGTGTCGGTCATGTCTGCATGTCTGGGCCCACTTCTGAAGACCATGGATTTCCGTTGCGCATTTGCTCAAAGATAATCAGCTAGCTTCAGCAGTTTCTTCGTCCGATTCCAAGTCCTCCTCGACTACTGGGAACGTGCACAAGGCGGCAACGCCTCCCAATCCGTCCAGTCTTCTCCCGCTCTCATGGTCGGAGCTGAGTACACGCACTTCGCCCCCTTCGTCGTCCCGCACTCGGTCAACCAGTGACACCCATCGTTTGCGCTCCGCCACGTCCTGTGACCGGAACAATCGATTGGAGATAATGAGGACGCCGCCCCCACGGCCCACGGCTCCTTGGTCGACTGCCGACTCGACCTCGCGGGGTCCATAGATGGCCTTGTTAGACTCCTTGCGGAGATGTCCAAGAAAGTCGTCCATCAGTTTGGTCTCGCGGGCATACTTGGTATCCGCAAGGATGGTTTTCACTGCAGGCGATTGCAGAACCTCGGCGAGAGAATGCAAATAGCCAGAGGCTGAGTGGACTACGACAATACTCGGTAATAGCCGTTTGAGGGCAGGTGTAGTCGTCGAGGCAACAGACTGTATGTATTTCTGAAAGCCGGCAGCGACAAAACCAGGAGACGCAAGAAGAACGGGCTTGACGGGCTCGTTACTGGTGAGAGAAGTAGCGCTGGTGTTGAACTCCATCTGCCGGAGGAGTGTGTCCAATGTAACCTGGTAGAATTTTGACATTCCCTGTTTCGCGTAAGTAACTAATTTCTATACCAGAGCATTGGCACATGGGTTGAGGCAGTACCTTATCATGATCCCCGCCTCCGCCGCCTTGTCGTTTTCGCGGAACCGACATCTCGACCTTCTGCTTCAAGACAGTTTGAAATTGCCCAATAAAGCAGATGTGGGCCAGTCCCTCTTGCATAACAACAGCGACCGCTTCCGCCCTCCGTTTGCCGCTCTCGTCAACGGCATCCTGGAGCATCTGTACAGCAATGCTGTCCCACCCAACTCCTTCCCCATTGGCACCGATCTCTTTCTCCAGGGTGAAATTGCGATTCAGCTCCAGATCTAACGTATGATGTTGTCCGACTTTGGTGTGCGGTGTCTCGTTCACAATTGTTCCTCCAACATGCAGTTGGGAGCTCTGAGGGTCGAAATCCAAGCTTTTCACGCGGATTTCCAGTGTCAAGTGAACTCGAGATGAAGTTGTTGTACCGGTGTCGTGCGTCGTTGTGACGCGACGGATTGCGCTTGCGCGAAGGAGGTCGCCGGGTCTGATCAGGTTGTAGGCGTGCCACTTAATGCAGGAGCCGTCAGAGCAGCAAAGTATCCGATGGGGATCGGGTCGCATACCATATCCTCTGGCTCTTCAGGACACAGAGTGACTGTGCCTGAGCCACCGTGCTCTATCTTGTTCTTTATTAGACGCATTTGACCAGTAGGTGTAGAGATGTGGGATGTTGAAAAAATAGATAGCCAATAGTATGTATATCGAAGATATGAGTGTTATAAGTTGTTGTGATAGAAATATACTTTCCCCAAGAAGGTGCTTAGCACTCAGTTAAGCCAACAGTGACAGAGACACTGTCGCCCTCGCAAATCATGAAGAAAACCGCCGTAAAGCAGAGAGATGATTCAACTTCAGGCGCCAAGGCAGCTTCAGGAGATGCGGGACAGTTCCTGAATAGGACTAGCACAGTTACTTATCGATAAGAACGTGGAACCCTAATTCCTGAGACACATCAACCAGGTTGTGCAGAGAGAGAAGTGATGTCATTCATGGTATGTAGTACGTCCATGATAGTATGATAGTACATCGCCTCAGGAGTGTCTCGAGGTCATCAGAACGGCTTGCTTCCGGGCCAAAATAGAGGGTTCAGGAGAACCTAGGCCGGTTTTCTCCAACAATCTTACGGAGTAGTCATTGAGCCGAGCCAACTCAATGCCGTTATCCTTTCCTGGAACCCGACAAAACCTGCCCCACGTCAGTTACACTCCACCGCAAGACCCATCAGGAAGCTCGTAATGGCATTTGACTTTCGGGGAGGGAGACAGGAGCGACTATCGGGTCTCCAAGGTCTCCAAATCATCATGGACTCCAACGGATGACCGGCGGTACAAATACGGCTCTGAGTTCGTGCAGCTGTGTGTTTTTTCCTCGCCCATCCGCTCTATTTCTTGACTGATTGTCCCTTTCGTCATCATACCAACTCCGTGGTAACTGGCAACAATGGCCCCCCTATCTCTTCAGTCGACCTACAAAATGGTCTCGGGATATGAAATCCCGGTTGTTGGGTTCGGTGTGAGTAACAACCCCCCAGTGGCATAGTTTCGACTATGAAAATCAAGCTGCTGACGCAAGGATCGTAAGGTTTATCAAACGTGTGTTGAAATTCTATAGCAATTCATCATTCAGGACTGAACTCCATGCCTAACCTCTAAATGGCAATGCAGGCCACCCGAGATCACCGAGAAGGTCACTCTCAAGGCACTGGAAACTGGATACCGCCATGTAGGTGCCATGAGGCCCATGAGAACCATTGGAGAACCAGGCAATTGATGCTAACCGGGCCTGCTTCACTAGATTGACAGCGCGAAATACTATGCGAATGAGAAAGAATGTGCGGTGGCTATGAAAAAGTCTGGAATTGACCGTTCTAAGATCTTTTTCACCACCAAGGTTCCCGCGTCTTCCATGTCCTATGAAAAGGCCAAGGAAGCCATTGAGCAAAGTGTTGCTGCTGCCGATCTTGGTTACATTGATCTGTAAGCGGATAACCCCGGTCTTTGACGATCAAGCGACCCCCTGGCTAACCAAGGGGCAGAGTCCTGCTCCACGCACCCTACGGTGGGAAGGAGGGTCGCCTTGGTGCCTGGCGCGCTCTCGTGGAGGCTCAGAAGGCAGGCCACATTCATTCCATTGGCGTCTCCAACTATGGCATTCATCATCTGGAGGAGTTGGAGGAGTACATTAACAGCGGAGTTGGAGGCCAGATTTCTGTTGGCCAGTACGAGATTCACCCCTGGTGTGCGCGAGAGGACATTGTTGCCTGGCTGAAGAAGCGCAACGTCGTTGTTGAAGCCTATTCTCCTCTTGTTCAAGCTCAGCGCATGGACGAGCCTGTATTACAGAACTTGGCCAAGAAGCACAACAAGACGGGCGCTCAAATCCTGATCCGGTGGAGTCTGCAAAAGGTACCTCCTGTGTCTCTATTATCGAATGAGTATGTGGCTAATGCAGTCTTGCAGGGGTATGTTCCTCTTCCGAAGTCTGTGACCGATTCCCGTATCGTTGAGAACACGCAGGTGTTTGACTTTGAATTGTCTGGCGAGGACATGGAGAGACTGAACACCGGCATTTATGCCCCTGTTTGCTGGGATCCTGCTAAGGATGTTCCGCTGTAGAGCGATTCCTTTAAATTCACTGAAAACAGCAGAAAGGCGATGGCAGCAGGCGAAAAATATATACACGTCTCTTTCGCTCATATATAGAAGCAACACAGTGACAGGGGTAAATGCAGGATTTTATTAGGCAACAATGATCAAATCTCAAAGAAGTTGTCTCTCTAGATGAATTGAGCACTTTGTAAACTTAAGTGGTACTAGTAGCAGCCGTGGGGAATGGGAAACGCTTGTTGATCTTCTGGCCGGGACAACATATCGCCGCCAAACAAGGATGTTAACAGTAGCTCTCCGCGTTATCAGAACAATGTATTGCCATCAACGATAACCGAAAGAAGCTTACAAGACACGATCTTCAAATGCACCGCTACATCTCGATCAGGAAAAATTATACCTGAACTACCTGTCATCCCTCTACCATGCCCGATCGGCCGCGGCGCATTATTCTGGAAAAATCCAAGACAGTGCGCCGCCGGTATCAACGCAGCAACAAACGATTCCAATTTACAGCTTCACAGATCGAACGCATCGAACGCGAAGAAGAACGCGAAGCACGAGCTAAGAAGCTTAGAGAGAGGGAGAAGAAACGGCAATCCAGTAAGAAGAAAAAAGCCGAAAAGGAAGCCAAAGAACGCGAAGCACGAAGACGACTCGGTCTCCCTGATCCTCATGCTCTCCCCATTCCTTCCAGTCAGCCATTGCTTTCCAAATTTCTCAAGAGGCCTGCAGCGAAACCGGATACTGAGAGTGAGACTTGTGAGGATACAGAGCCGGACAGCCACAGCCAGGGGAGCATCGCAACCGAGCTTGACGAGAGCCTGCTCTCGGATTTAGATGTCGCTATCGTCGACGATCAGACGGCTGCCGGGGTATCAGAGCCAGATAAGCATACAGTAAGCGATGATGGCAAGGGTCATGTTGGTCGGACACAGGGCGACGATGACGAATTCTCCGAATGCTCGATTTTCTACGACGAAGACGTCATCAAAGAAGTGGAAACAATGGCTACTGCACAAGATACGACAGGCAGGCCGGGGGAAATAGACCAGGCGACGAAAGAGCCATGCAAACCTGCGTTAACGATAGGAGAATCATTCCAAGATGACACGGCGATACTTCTTGAAGAGTTTGGCCATGAATTCGCCAGCGACGAGGAATTTGAACAGGAATTGATTCGACTCGATACTGTATCCGTTGGAAACCTATCTTGACTTTTGACTATACGAATACTGGACATTCAATATGTGATTGGGAAAAATGTCTAATTTTGGTGGATTCAATGGCACACACCCTCGCACAAGTTCATTCTTGAGGGACAGACTGCATTGGAACCATTGTTGACAGTCACTGACAATAATTCTGCAACCTCGCAGACTCGCGCAGCTCAACACCGAAGACAGCCGTTTGATCCGACCCGACGGACGGTCTGAAACGGCCAGGCCCGCACTGATCGGATCGTGATGGCCCCTCCTGTCGGGTCGGGCGGTGATAAGCTGGGCGGCGGCTGAACCCCGCCATGCTAGCAGGCATTCCAACGGAATCCATTATTCTGAACGAGAATTATGAAGGCAGCTTGCACGAACAGAGATTATGCGGTAACAATAGGAATGACCACTTGGACAGCCGCCTCGCTGTGCTGAAGACACGACACTATATCGGAGCGCATTATCGATAAGATAGGAGAACGAAGCCGAAGAATGGGTTGACGTCAATGCGGAATAAAACATTTAGCGTGTCGACTCGGTTTGTTTGAGAGCTTCTTGGAGATACCTCATTGCTATCTATTTCTTCGCATACACAGTAAATTCGAACGCTATTGCATTCTCCTTCTCGTCTTTCCTCGCATTTTGTACTGGCACCTTTTACTTCCATTCATCGAATCGAAAAGATGCCGTGCCTCGAAGTATGTGGGCACTCAATCCACTATGCTGATTCCCATCCCAACGGAGCTCCCAAAGACGGTGCGACCATTGTCTTCATACACGGCCTTGGCTCCTCCCAAAATTACTACTTTCCTATTCTCCACCATCTGACTCCTAAGCACCGCTGCATCACTCTCGACACGTATGGTTCTGCCCGCTCCCCGTACACCAGCCAGGCCATCACCATTTCTACCATTGCCTCGGATGTCATTGCGGTGCTGGATGCTCTACACATCCCCAAGGCCGTCGTCGTCGGCCACTCGATGGGCGGACTGGTCGTGACGCTCTTGGGTGCGCAGTGCAGCGATCGTATCAGGGCTGTAGTAGCCGTGGGTCCCACCCATCCCTCGGAGACCCTAGCATCCACGATGCACCGGAGGAGCGATACCGTGCTCAAGGGTACGTTGCTTAGGCCCAAACTCATCATCGAAATGTATTACGTGTGAGCTAACCCAAAATAGCCGGCATGGAAGCGATGGCCGACACCGTCCCCAACGCCGCTACAGGCTCGCAAGCCTCCCCGCTCGCCAAAGCATTCATTCGCGAGCTCCTCTTAGGCCAGAACCCAAAGGGCTACGCCACGCTATGCCAGGCTATTGCCAAGGCCCCGCGATCGACTACTCGTGTATCACTGTGCCGTTTCTGCTCATTGCGGGTGAGGAGGATAAGTCCGCGTCGTTGGAAGGGTGCAAATATATCTTTGATCGGGTGTCGAGTGAGACGAAGAAGATGGAGGTATTGCCCAAAGTCGGCCATTGGCACTGCATCGAGGCACCGGAGCTGGTGGGTGGGATGATTGCGGGGTTTATTGAGAGAGTGTGATGTGCCTTATGAAGTTATAGTATCTGGGCAGATATTGAACGAATTGTCTTTAGACAAATATTTAGTGTTTCATCGCTCTTAATACTCCAGCTGTATCATTGCACCCGTTGATCATCAAGCCAGAAGGCAATCTTGGCAAGTCCAGATCAAGACAACATTAAGACTCAAAAGCTGACTCCAGCAAAAAGAGAAGCTATCATCGCATTACGGTATCACGGAATAACACAAAATATATATACACAAATCCCAGCTATTGTCAGACTCCAGTCCATTCCACTGGCCTACGTCCGGTCCGCTACCAGCTTAACATCGTATTCAAGCTCAAGTCCAGCTTGAGGGTCATCCTTGCGCGGCACAAAGTCCACGATCAGCGAGTCCTTGACGGCAAACACCGAGTCGTTGGTTAGGTACTTGTCCTGGCGGTCGAAGATCTGCGTGGTGAGCGGCTTGTAGCCTTCGTGCGTAGCCTGCAGTGCAGTTAGCCCAAGCTGCCTCTTTACTCGACAGAAGCGAATACTCACGATGATGTGGATATGGGCAGGGCGATAGGGGTGTCGGTCCATGAGCTCGAGTAACTTCCCTGCGGGACCTGTACAGCAGTCAAGATTAGCGCGTCTGCAAAGCCTCTATAGCGATAGCGACAGGCGACGATGTCAGATACATACCGTCATTCGGAACAGGATATGGCGTCGGACGCAGGCAGTAAAAGTAGTACCGCCCGTCAGCATCCGTCTTGAACTTCCCGCGCAGGTTGAACTCTTCCTGGTTCGGATCCTGCTGCTCATACAGCCCATTGGTAGACGCCTGCCACACCTCCACCGTCGCGCCAACGAGCGGCGTCTTGGTCTGGAAACCAACCACCCGGCCGTGCATGAATACCATCTCGCCGTCCGGCACGTCTTTGACGATATTGTCGCCGTTGTTGCGGTAGGGGGTGTCGGCGCGGAAGAACGGGCCCAGGATGGCGGTTGCGGTGGGTGCATCGGCGGCCTCTTCAGCCAGCTTGAAGGTGATTTCGTCGACGAGCCTGTATACGCACAGCAAGCGATACGATTAGTACTGGTGTCGGAGACTGTAAAGCGGGGATAGGTGGCACGTACGACTCGAGCCCGATCACGTCGCAGACGAGCTGGCCTTCGTTGCGCTTGTCATCGCTCATCTGGCCGGCCCAGTTGAGCAGCTTGACGCCGGCCATCCATTCGTCGACGGTCAGTTCGTTCTCGCGCGCAAAGTCATGCACATGGCGGATCAGGCTGGCCATGACCTTCCGGAAGCGCGGGTTCGTCTTGGGACCCATCGCGTTGATGACATTGTCGGTGAAATTGGGGTCAAATCGATGAGTAGCCATGACTGTATGTGCCTCAAGGATCGTATGCGGTAGAGAGGTCGGGTATATACTGTATCGGAGTTGGAAGAGATGACGTGGATGAGAATCAATAACAGTCAACGGAAGAAACAGTCGCGAGGACTACCATCCAGCTTATATTGCAACAAAATCTAAATCAACAGAGTATGATTGGAAATACTCGCTTTCCGGACGGCAATATGTGCCCCAGATCCCAAGAAGACCCCGCAATTGATGAGAGTCCGTCAACAGCTATTGAACGCCGGCTCACCAACATAATTGATTGGGCAGTACAATGATTGGCCATCTAGGATTGATAGACATTGCAATCGGAAGCAGATCAAGTCATCAATCTAACTGCCTTTTGTTCCGTCGTGTCATTTGCAATGCAAAGCCGTATGACACTTTTTCGGATAGGGAGTAGAGGACCATGGCGACGATCCGATTTCCCCGCAATCCGTCGGATATCGGATAGTCGCGCTTATGTAAGGTCCCAGCATCGTCCCCGCACCATCAGGTGATTTTGCTTATCATTATGCATCAATATTAAAGATAACTGGACAGAGTCCTGTGTACAGCTTCAGAGCTAGATGTAAATTTAAGCATATGCGCTCAGACAAAATATCAGTAAGACTTGTTCATCACAGGGTCATGGAGATCATCCATTTCTTTTACCCCCTCTCCTCCCATCCGATCCTGCTTGTGGACCCTTGGGATTGCCTCTCTGAAGCAATTCCGACGGCAATTCCTTGATCGTTTGCCCACGTTCCCAAATCTTCCCGAGCCCACATTTCCGTTCCACAACAACATCAAAGAATTCAAGGGGAATGATCTTTTGCGATGTGCCATCTCCAGCCTCCTGACCCCCCCTACATCCACGCCCTCACTCAGGATGACCCCGTTCTCACTGCGCCAGAACGGACACCCCGCGGCCATTGCCTTCTTGATGTCAATGTAGATCAGAATCTGCGCATCTCGCCTCATCCCGGAGATTACTCGCCCATCGTTTAGGCCCGAGGGTGTCGTAGCTGAGTGTGCCGTCCCGTCTACATGTGTAGGTAGCACGGATTCCAGGGAAGGCCCAGTTGCAAAATGAACCTGGTTCCGTCCCATGCACCGCAGCCCGCCGGACTGGAGAATGGCCGACCAAACGGCATGGTATGTCCCGTGCACAACAGTGTCCGGTAACCTCGCCTCGTCTTCCAATGTCAGTCTCTCCAGGAACGCGGCCGCGTCCACGCTCTTAATGCTGTGCCCCTGCGTCGCTCGGATCAGGAAATGAGACGGGTCTGTATCGTTCACGGCGAGTGCCGTCGCCGTTGCATTCTCCTGCCCCGCGCTGGTGGTCGGGACCTGCGATGTAGGCATCGAGCTCGGTTCTGTTTCGCAGACGGGGGTCTCCCCTTCGCGCTCCCCAGTCGTTGTTGTGTCGCTTAAAGCCTTCGCCGAAGGGATGTGTAACAGCGCAAACCGCTTTTTGTCGGATGAGGCAACCGCGTGAATGATTTCAGGAAGAGTAACCTTAAGAGACTTGATTTTTTTCCATGCTAGCTGTCCGAGATATGTGTATCAGTCATATACCCTATTGAATGGTTCCGTCTGTCGTGCATACCACGTCCGCCACGTTGGCATACCCTTGAGAATCCATTTTCAGCCCTTCCTTTTCTGCTGCATGGCGCAATAGCAGACTTAACGCTTTAGAAATAGTCACTTCACGGCTCTGGTTGCCTCCTCTACCCCTGCGTTGATTTTGCGACATTGTGACGGACTCGGCAAGCGGAGAGGAGGGGTATCTCGTCAGTGAACGGAGGTTCTGGGTTCGGCGTAGAAGAATGGCGATGAAACGGAATTGTCGGTTAATCGTGCTTGCTTTTCTACTGTATAGGAGCTCGCAGTGTCAGTAACTGACTCGATAGAAGACTCATCCGGAGGCTGAGCTCACGCGATGACTCAATGTGACTGCAGCGTGACTGGGCAATGTTGTTCTCGTACCATGAGATTAGGGAAAGCTATGAAAACCGAGTCCACAGGAGCGCCTCAAGCTGTAGGAAAACATCGGCGATTAGTATTAGCGAGAACAGGGATTTGGCTCGATTTGGACATACATTAATGACAGTTCGACGATCCCAGCTGTGCAATAAACGGAGAAATTTTGTTTACATCATCGGCGGGCAATAATATCCCTCACCGACCCACCCGGACTAGGAAGGAAAGAGCTAAGATAGCAATAGTCTACTCCGTCCAATTCGGTATACAGTGAATCGTAGACTTGGCCAGTTATAGAGGTTAGGCTTATGATAGAAAGTTTCTTGAGGAAAGAGTACATATAGTGGACAATGTTGATGTCGATTAGCGAAAATGCCTAATAACCTCATGCCTCCATAAATGGGTATCGAAAGTAACAGAAAACTATCCCACCATGCCTCATGAACTTCTAAAACCATCCTCGTCCTAAACCAAATATATGAAACGAGTTCCTGAGGGTATACGCCACGCTTACCGGTCGCAAACGCAGCTGCATTCTGCAACGGGGCAAACGTTGTGCTTTGCAAACCACTCTCTGGCGTGATGTGCATGGAAACCATGATTGCAATTGATACAGAAGACGACGAATCTGCGCATGACGTCGGCTTCTGTGGATTTGCGCTGCTCCTGACCAGCATCGGCGGCGATACACGCCCTGGACATTGGATCTGGAGAGCCCATCCAGAGCGTGCAAACTCCACAACGGGGCATCGGCCGTCCACACCTGGCGCAGACCATTCCTGACATAACAGCTGTACCCAAGGGATTGCCAGCGGTTTGATGCACCACTTCGCCTGTAGCCGAAGGAGAAAATTGGGAGGATGCATCATGTTGGGTGAGAGGTCGAGTGCAGTAGTTACAAGTCAAGCTGACTTGTTGGCGGGGCGGCTCGATGAGTTTGCGCCCGTCCCAGGTGACGGCAAACTTGCGCGAGCCGACATCGAATCGCGCTCTCTCTAATTGGAGTTTCCATGAGTTCATCTGCCAGCGATAGGTTTCGCGCCATGCTTCATACCGAGCCCTGCCCCAACCAGTCCTGACGAAGCGTGGGACTGTGTGGCTCATGGCTAGAACCGGCGTCTGAACATCATTGAATTTGTTGATATAAGATTGGAAAAGGTCCAAGGCAGAATGGCCAAGACCCGTGAGGACTATACCTTCAATGTCGCCTTGTCGGATGACTTCAGCAATGGTTTCCTTCAAGTACCCGGAGAGTTCCGCGTCAGGAAGCCAACGTAGAGCTACCTCGATCCGGTAACTCAAAGGAAGCGTAGACTCGTGAATAACGGACTTCCAATCTCCCTTACTCACGAGCGCCAATATAGCTCGCGCGTAGGGGTCTGTGAGCTCCTTGGCGATCTCCGCGCATGTCTCTTCCCAATCTGAGTCGGTATCACCTTTGGCCGCGCCTGCGATAGCCATGGCAAGCAGCTTATGCGCCTGGGTGGGCGTGTGACTGCGCAACGCCTGGTACGCCAGTTTAGCCTCGTCCTGGAAGACGGCCAATGCAGCTGCTTTAGTATGCTGGTTGTCTGCAGAAAGCCTTTTGACAAGTTCCTCCAATTCGCGATGAGATTGTGCCGCACCGCAGAGACGCAGACAAAGTCGTCGATGTTCCGGACGAGCTGTCTGACATCCTTTTGATTCGGGCAATCTTAATTGCTCCCGCACCATTTGGATAATACTTTCGCTGATAGATGGAGACTCGTCGCCGCTTGGACCGATGTGCCGGCTGTCATAACTTTGACCTGCAAGAAATTAGCAAACCGCATAATCAGCAAAGACGAAAATACCCTACCTAGATCATTGTTCCAGATATCACATACCCCCAGGTAATTGAAATCCATGCCATTTATGATCATTGACTCATCAGACGAGTCCGAACGTGCGCCTGTATTGCCTGTCAGAGAATCTATACCAATGTTATCGTAAAAATTACTCACGATCGACCCAGTCCCAGAGGCACTGAAGTTGAGGGTCATCGGCTAAAATTCGCTTGTTGCGCGTTTCGTCGAATAAGTAGCCTTCCTTGCACCGTAGTCTGTTTACGGTCAATAACGCCAAGGCTTCCTCTGCAGTGAGAGGTTGACCCAGAGTTCCCAGTGATAAATTCCGTTCTCGAGATTCACGACTGGAGAGAGGATCTTTGACACGGGTCTCCGATCGTGCAGCTCGGCCTCCTTGCGACAGCTTCCTCTCTTCTAAAGCTGCCAGATTCGCCTCGCGAATGCTCTCAATTACTTCTGAAATCTTCGTCTGATTCCCGAAGGCGGGCCGTAACTCAGTAAAATCGAGATGATTCTCCGAGATACCACGGATCAGAACACCTTGAGAGGATAGCCGCACAGGCGGAGACGGAGGCTGTGCTGTAGCCAGGCCGACCCGACCATTTCCAGCTAACGTTATGGCAGTGGGCTCGCTGGAAGTACTCAGGTTCAGAAAGTCGAACGCCACGACTCTATCTGACTCCTCACAGCCTCGGGTCGGATGATTGAATGGGCTGAGGACATCGCGGATCGACTTCGTATAGATCTGTTCTGGATAGGTATGGAAGGACCCTTGCCCGAGGGTCTCCTCCATGGACATGCGGTACTCTTCTGGCAAGTATTCTTTGACGATGTCAAAAGTTTTGAAGCCGCCAGTGTTCGAAAGCGCACCCAGACAGCCTCTTTTGGTCTTCGAGAATCGCAGACTCCAGAGAGATGTTTTGGGTCCGAAGACATTCTTGAATTCAAGTGCTGGGCCCGGATGTCCAGACTCCAGCATATTCGCAGCCCCGGTGACATTAAACCGGGAGCTGGCCCGTCGGTCCCAGAGGCAGATGGTAGGGTCGTTCGTTGGATAACAGGATGCGATATAGTTCTCATCAAGCGAGTTGATCGCAAGATTGTGTACGCATCGCGTGGGAAACTGTAGAGACGGATTGCCAGGACCTTCTGTAGGAAATTAGTCGCACACTCCAGCCGAAAGAAGGAAAGTAACAGGGTACAGAGCCTCTGCAAAAGACGGACAAAATACTTACCTCGAAGATCATATATTCTCACATATTGGCCCTTCACCCCGGTGACAAGCATGTCGGGTTGGTCTCTAAAGAATTTGACACTCGTAATCGGCTCCGAGCTAGCCAATTTTCTGAGAGGCTCGACATATCCCTTGGGACCTTTGTTGATCATACGCTGATTGACATCCCAAATGTTCAAACAAAAGTCGTTGCGGACTCGATCCAGCCCAGCAGCCAGTAGGCCGTGTCTGCTGAACGAGACAGCATTACAATACCGCTGATGGCGAATGGGGAATGAAATCGACTCCGCATTCTCGCTGCTCAAACGCAAGACAGTCGCGTCACCAGAGGATTGGCCGACAGCGACGAGGGACTCGTCCACGGGAGACCAATCGAAGGCGCGAAAGGCTGGCACCTTTGTGTGCGTCGACAGTACTTCATGTTCCAGATTCTTGCCATCGAATCCAGTGACTCTGCAGAGTCGGAAGGTTTTCCCTGTCACGTCCACGGAGAGAAAGCGCTGTTCCGCTGTGGTGGAGGACGGGGCCCAGCGAATGGCGGTCTCCATTGTTTCCTTGCGGATTGTCTGAGCCGTCGAGGGATGCTCACAGTAGGTAAGTACCTTAGTCAAGCAGCCTGGCCCATTCTAAGAAACGACGCTCAGCTTGCAAAGCTAAGCTGACTCGAATCGAGAGTCCGGACGCATAGTAGCAAGTAGAACTCTTTAGAAGTCAAGGTTGGCGATACGAGGGCGCAATCCCAGTGTTTCCCAACTCGCATTGAATAATCAACAGGGTAATTCCTCCCGTGCTCTCTTGAATCGCTAAGCGCGTCATTACAACCGGTCCCGCTCTGATTGGTCGTAGCTGTTATCCTGGGGAACTCCTCGGGCCGACTGTTGATCCGCTTATTTTTTATCGCTTGTATTTCTTTTTTTGGGGGGGCCATTATCTTCATTTGTGATCAGCAGCGAACCACTGAACGGCATTGCAACCGTTTTTTAGTGACAAGATGCCCAGAGAATACTCGAGGGAGAAGCGGTCTCCTTTTGATTCCACGACGACCAGTAAACGAAAATACCACGAAGGCTCGGAAGACTCTCAACCAGCAAAGAAGAAGAAGATCCACCCTCCCAAACACGAACACAACCACCCCTCCGTGAATGAGTTGAAGAAGCGCATCCGAGATGTCAAGCGTCTGCTCAACAGGGTCGACCTGCCAGCCGATGCGCGCATTGTCCAGGAGCGTGCGCTCGCGGGGTACGAGAAGGATCTCGAGGACGAGTTGGCGAGACGCCATCGGTCCCAGATGATCAAGAAGTATCATTTTGTTCGATTCCTCGGTATGAGAATCCGACTACAATTCGATGATGATCTGGAGCTAATATGGACGATCGCAGACCGAAAAGCGGCCTCAAAAGACCTCAAGCGTCTCCTCCGCCGCGAACAGGAAATCTCCAATTCCGATCTCGACCCAGCAGCCAAGAAAGAGAAAATAGCTGCTCTCGCAGGGAAGATCCACGCCGCGCAGGTGAATCACAACTACACAATCTACTACCCGCTTACGCAGAAATATGTCGCGCTCTACGCAGAGCAGAAGAAGAAAAAGAAGGAGTCCACTACACAATCGGAGAAGCCGAATGAGCCTGAAGCAGAAGTTGTCAGCAAACTTATATATGACACGACGGGTGAGAGACCGCCCATGTGGCGTGTCGTTGAGAAGTGCATGGAAGATGGGACACTGGATCTCCTCCGTGAAGGGAAATTGGACGATGGTGAAGGCGAGAAGAGTTCACAAGTGTCCGAGCAGAAGAAGTCGAAGAAAAGCGCGGATGAGGATCAACCTGCACGCAACAAGCCCAGTAAGGAAAAGGTCTCCGACAAGGCTAGTGGAAAGTCGAGAAAAGCAGAGGGCAAGCAAGACAGGAAACCCAACCGGTCCGCGGCAATGGAGGGCGCATACTGGAGTGCTAATGAGCTCAATGATGATGATAATGAGAGTGACGGTGGTTTCTTCGAGGAGTGATTCATCAATTCGCATTGCATCTGCGGCCTGCTCATCGAGCGGTCTGTTTTCAAGTCGGTTAGCGTCTGTATTCGGCTCTTCCATTCATCCTGTCAGGAAAGCGTTCATGTCGTTGTTGTCACTATCCTGTATATCTTCTATTTGATACCCAAATCATGAAGACTCCTCAGTTGGGACTGGAATTTTTTATGTAGTCCTTCTTGACATTGTTTTGCTCACTCTAAGACCTAAGTCCCTGAAGATACTTTAGAAGAGAACCCTCTTCCTGCACCAGCCGATAATGATTTTTGAGTCATAGCACACTTGTATGAAGACTCGACCGAATAAAATCCATTTTCACCATTTCCTCTCTAAGTAACTGCAAGACATAGACATAGATACGGGCTCAAATATAGACCATGAACTCCGAACCATTGCACCGGGTCAAAGAAAACAAACAAGTAACTGTGAAGAAAAGGTACCAATCAAGTAGACCGAGGCACGGCCTAGACTTTCAGGCTCGACTTGAGAAAATCGCTCGAGTGCATCCTGACATGCATCGAATTGTTGAAACAGGTCACTTCGCACCTCATAGAAGCAGCCGATACGGATAGGGACACGGCGGCAGCCCTCCAGCATGACCAGCATTGAAACTGCCTGTGTCCCGACCTCCTATCCCAGAGGAGGTGGTAGCAGGTTTTGAAGTTCCTAGAATTTCAAGTATTCATCCAGTGAATGAATGGAATGAAAAGAGCCTGCTCATCCCATGCAACCACAAAACGCCCGCGAATGCAGTAGATATCGAAAGAGAGACTGATGTAGCAAAGCACTTCCAATCCCTGGATGCTTTCACATGACAGTGCAACCTCCGCTCTGCGCTCTTCTGCGTCTTCCTCCAAGAGCCGAAATACCACCAATGCCATATGCATCTTCATCATCGTCGGCGTTGTAGAGTCGTTCGGCCTCGCGAGCTCGGCGCCGTCTGCGTCGTGCACCGGCTCCACCAACACCAGCTTCTTCCGTCGCCATCATATAATCGGCCCATTTGCGGTCTAACCTACTCGCGGCAGCGAGATCCCCGCGCAAGACTCGCTTGTTATGCTCATCGACGGTCATTTGCCAGCCATAGAAGCATTTGAGTTGGATGATCTCGTTAGGAAACACCGGGGGCGGCGGTGGCGGAGTAATCGAGGAAGTACTCATCATGGCTGTTGTTGGTAAGTCGCCGTCATCAAGCTCGCGTGTCACCACCGTGACCGCCGAACTAGGCTTGCGAGAGCGTGGTATGTATGCGTTGCTTGAAAGAACCTCCTTCACCCCCGCCCAAGTGACATTGGCACAATCAAAAACTACCAGGCGCAAGCCAACCTTGGGAAGATTCTCAGAATAGCCTCGCTTACGGACGCGAAAACTGGCCTCCATCAAAGTAAGATCAGAGATTCGAGTATTATCCATCTCCACAGACCGAATGTTGGGGCAGCTCTTCATCACCTGGAGCATTCCAACGTCACCTAGGCTTTCGCAATAGCTGATATTGAGGTGTTCAAGACGTTCGGCACACGGACACTTGGCAAGTTCAACTAGGGTGTTGTTGGTGAGCTGCTCCAAGTCTTCAAGTTCAAGATGAGTTAACAAAGGAGTCGTGCGGATGACATCGATGACGGAATCGTCGCTCAACTGGGGGCATTGAGATAGCTGGAGGCCTTCGAGCTCGGGAACATTGTGCGCCAGACTTTTTACTCCGACATCAGTCAGATCTGGGCACTGGTGCACGTCCAGATGTTTGAGACCCCGGGGTGGGACGATTGGCAGGTCCGTAAGCACATCAATTTCCGGGTCAATACCATGCATGAGAACCTTGAGGCTGTCGTCGGTCAGATCGGTACGGCTTATGATTAACCTTTCCAAGGTGTTCCTCCTGAACAATTCAAGGGCAAATTCTTCGTCGTGGAAACCACTGATTTCGCTAGCCCGCAAATCTTTCAATCTCGGGCAAGCCTGGATAACTTTTCTCAAGCCGGTCGTGTTGACTCCAGTGCACCACGAGATATTGAGAATCTCTAGATGCGGGCATTTCTGAGCGATAATCTTCATGGCGGAGTTGGTCACAGTTGATAATCCAGAGACATTGATGTATTGAAGACGAGGGTTCCGTAACAGGAAACAGTGCATAGAAGTTTTGTCAATGCGGCACCCTTCAAGAGAGAAGTTGACAACGTTCCGACAAAGATCCGTAATACGCTCGCCCTCAGTAGCCCACTTTTCTCGAAGTTGGATACAGCCTCGGAGGTTGAGGTCTCGAACGAAAGGACCGCCAGAGGTCATAAGTTTCACGAGGCTGTCGCTGGAAATTTCGCGGTAGTAGTCTGCGGCATCGACACACGTCCACAGCTGGCCATCATAACACATCTTGTGCCAGGCTCGCGAAACAGCAGAACAACGTACGAGCTCCTTTGGGGTCAGATAGCGGAAGATGTCCATTTTGATCTCGTCGGGCATGCGGCCCCAAAAGTCGAAAACGACCTTCGGCTCAGACGTAGGCTGCTCCGCAGCCACAATCTCTTCTACCGGTGCAAATTCCAGTGGTGACCCACGGGATGCCGGTCTCAACTCGGTCGGCAAGGGAATGGTCTTCGGATTGGAGCCATTCGGCGAATCGGTCCCAACTAAGCGGATACGGGCATTTCCATCGGTGTGCTCACCCGGCGAGCCCGGGGTTGCAGGACGGACATTCAATCCTCCATATAGTTGTGATGAGCTTCCATTTCCGAGGCACGGATTATATGCTGACTGGCTGAGCGAGACACAGGATAAAGAAGCTTTCCCATCCCGACGGTAGCCGGTAGAATGGGATCTGCCGCGTCTGGTGAGACTCGGGCTGGACGACATCCGCTGGAGACTTTGTAACAGCTTGTGTCTCCCTTTGAGCTTCTGGGGTTGCTCTATGGGTATTTGGCCTGTCGATGAGGTCGGACTTGCCGGAGAGACTGCTCCAGGTGAAGGCTCAAACTCGTTGGGAAATGCGGCGGCCATACTGGCAATTGTGGAATCAAAGTACGACGGTTGGTCGAAGGGTGCGATGTGCTGCAAGGACTTTTCCTATTTGCGAACGGATGTAATCAAGACGATTCGTGAGAAGGCCTGAGGCACAGATAGGGAAAGCCGTGAAACTGACGACAGGCGGGGGGTTTCCGCAATCGAGATTGGCCTAGAAACTCATAGTGAGGTGATGCAAACCATTCCGCAACTATACACAGCCAGAGAATCCCGAATAATGCCACAACCACGTTCTGAAGACAAGGGGACCCAAATCAAACACCCTCCTTTCTAGGGATGAAGCACTGCTCAAAAACGCTGAATAAAGAAAAGGGAGTATGATGGTGTAAGAGTGCGAGGAGGAAAGTCGAGTTTGGGTGTAGGTAGTGTCAAGCGACAGTCGTTGGGGTGTTTTCTCGGCTATGGGACTGTCATAAAGCGTACCATGGACCCCGTCAACCGCGGAACCCGGGGCTGGCCAGAGAATCGACCGGGGAGAGACCTTCTGGGTCGAAGTAGTCAAGATAGTTTAGCAAACGTCACCTAGGCATCACCCACAGGTGTTTCGTGAGAAAAGGATGAGAGAGAGAAAAAAGAGAGATGGAAGTCTATTATGGCCTAGGGTGACATCGAGGGAATGTCGACAAACAGAAGGGGAAGAAGAAGGAGAAAAGAGATGCCTTACCCTTACAGAGAAGAAGAGGGGAGACTAAGACATCCAGTCAGATTTTGGGAGGTGTGGGTAGGCCCAGTAACGAACGTGTCAGACGGCCATGGATAGCGAATAATTACTATTGTATGTTCATTGTTATCAACAGTAACTTATCATATCTAGGGGAGTGTCAGCAGACAATCGCAACAGTGTCGGCTGAGCCCCCATTTAGTCTCTATCTACCATCCTCTTCCTTATCATTACTCCCAGTCAAGTTAATATGTCTTCTTTGAAGCAGCCATATTGGTGAGCAATAATGGTAATATTGATACGGAGAGTCAGAAACATGTGGGAGCATCCAAGGTCTCTCCGCCACCAAACTACCTATTACTTGTTAGTATTATCAGACCCCACAGGCCTTATCATTTATCGATAGGCAGATGTTATCCTTAGGCTCCCCACTTAGTGTCCGCCAGTGGCTCGTCTTGACTGTCACACATCTATCACTTCGTCTTCTCTTAAAAATTATGGCCATGGATATGCACATGGCCATAAATAATATTATAATCTCATTTATAGAATTTCAAGAGACAGCGCTCAGAGAAAGGGTAAAGACTTTGTTATTCACAGAGTAGCATCTATCACCGATGAAAGTGCACAGGCCACCAGCACAGGGTGACAGGAGACCACCAAAAGGTCACCATCTAGAAGTTAATGTCCCGTCAGTGTCCTCACCATCCAGATAATCGTAAATTCAACCAATCAACCAAAAATTTCAACCGAAAACAACCACCACCAGTCGAAAGACAAAGACGATCCAAGGCATTTCGACCGAGTGGCAAGTTGCAACTGGTACGGGCTATCTACGGCCACACCCACACACACATGGATCCAAATTCAATGCCCAATAAAATCACCCGCAGTCTCTCCGTTCCTGACCATCACTGGAGGCGACTAGTACTGAGACGGCAATCCCGGTGACTCTAGACGGTAGTACATTGAATATGGAGTCAGAAACCTTGGAGTGTTCATTCAAACAAACTATAACCCAAGTACACTGGATACTGCTCTGGGCTCTTTTTGCCTCACTTTTTACGACGGAGTCACTGTAAGGTATTTATTGATCACGCCACGCCACGCCACTTACAAGGGGTTATTGATACATGCGCATGTTCTTTACAATACATAGCTCACTCACTACCTACGGAGTACCTATTATTAATATCCCTCATGCCCCATCACAAGTATCAAGCACTAGCCGGCGTTCCTACATACTCCGTAGTGCGTGGTTTAGTTCCTAGAAAGTCTGGAGAGCATTCCACAGCACTCCGCT